TGGACAGAAATTTCCTCAAACAAAACATTTGACATTTCTCGTTTTTTAAAGCGAATCGAATCGAACTTAACGCGACGTCTTGTTACGAATGGCAAACTCATTTTACTCATTTTACAGCTTCCTAAAATAGTAGAGACTGCATTCATTTTCGCTACTTTCCTTGTGAATATTAATGGAAAAAATATTATAGCTTAACTCCATTAGCCACCACCCGATGGCGCCACATACTTAAACTTCTTTTATTTAACCGACACGACACGACACTGCTTGTAACCGGTATAAAACGCACTGAGTAGTATAACTACATGTAGTGTTGTCACCTTTTCAACTTTTCTGGCAAAGTTGATTGACAAAATTGCCACTTCTGGGATCTGAAAACTCACATTGTAATTTATTTCGTAAAAGCAAGTGAAAAAGTATGATATTTTATTATTAAAACTTTATATTTTTAACTGCTATAAAATTGAAAACAGCTTAATTTTTAAGATAGGGATGAGTTTTGTAAAAAATTGTAGATATTAATAACGAGGAAAATCGTCATTATGTCAGACCTCACGATCCCCTTTATCTCCCCACCCCCTAAACCTTTAACTACTAAAATTTAATAGCCTCAATCTTCCTAATAAACAAACCTTCCTGCAAAATTTCAGAAATTTTCGAAAAAAAGCACAGGAGTTATTACGCTTTAAAGAGAGTGAACAAAATCGTTCCCCCATACGCAAACACTAACATCCGTACATACAGAAAAAATTTCCGATTTTTTTGCATTTCTCGACGTTTCATGATAAATATGTAAAAATTTTCGGGGGTTATTTTTTGCCCGATTGCCATACTTTCCTTCTGTTATAACAGAGCTGAGAAAGTAAAAATTTCAATTATATACTTTTTTTAGTAAATGAAGTAGTTTATAAGAAAAAGCATTCAATATTTTAATGGGCTTATTATGTGAAAGTATTCTGAAAAAAAGCTTATTTCATTTTGAATTTTGTTTTGTTAAATATTTTAATAAATCCGGATCGGAGTTGATCCGATCGTAAATCCATTTACGATCGGATCTCCTCCGATCACGAATTACGTATATATACAGATATATTACCATTATATCCGCTAATGGTATATAATGTATCTTCCAGAACTGCTGTAGCAAAGTTACTTTTTGGTGTTAACATAGCGGGTATCCAAATCCATTCGTTTGTAATTTGTTCATACTTTTGTCCTGAAAGTAAAATAATTTTCAATACATATACCGATGGAAGGAGATTTACATTGCTTTATCGATTTAGGATATTTTACGTTTATGTTTGGGTTCATATAGGTCATGGGGCCATGTTCTCATCGGTTATCTACCAGAATATATATTTTATTTTCCTCGGAAAGTTTCAACAATTTAGGCAATAAAAGTAGGCAAATGTAGCTGATCTTTATTCACGATGTTAGTATTTTTTGGGCAATTTTAGCTAACTAAACGTTTCATGTGGCAACAGCTTATACCAGACATGGCCAATATACGGCCCGCCTAGTGAATAATGAATTTATGTAGCCCGCGATTAATCTTTTAATATTAGCTAATCAAGTCCGAAAAGCTCGATGAAAAATTCTGACACCTAAAAAAAGGTCACCGTGCGTTTACAGTTAATCCTCCATTGCAAATCTCTTAAGTAGAGCGTAAAATGTTGGTAAAGCATGATAATGTGAAAAATCTATCTGTAATCTTTATGTACAATTTAGTCTCTACGGGGTGACACCACAATGTGATCTCGCACCACCTCAAAATCTTTCTATGGCAGCCTCTGGTTCGGCCCGTGAAAAAAGTTTTCTTTCCAATTCGGTCCGGGGGCAAAAACTGTTGGCAACCCCTGGCTTATACAGTAAAATGCTTCTTTAAACTCTTTCCGGCCTATAGGCACTAAGAGAGCCGTTTTCGCAAGCCCATTATGGGTTCGGATATGCCTAGAATGGGGCAGCAGGATTGTGAGGCATGGAGTTAACCCCCGAAAAATTTAGGAATTTTCTGACCCGGTTATTTGTAGAACCAGGGATCGAATACGACGTGCGTATTCGATCCCTGGTTCTACTGATCGGTGGCTATTCTCTTAACCGCTCGGCTATCTGGCAGTTGGTTAAGGCGACGGCCACGAAAATATACTGTATTTAATAACAGTGTTAGGATAGAAAAGTAAAACTTCACAAAATTTAAATAATGCTAAAATATTTTAATCGCTGAAATTAATTAACAAAAATTAGTTTCTTCAACAAAACCCTCGTAACAATTCACTCCGACAATTGGTTATATTCGTCAATAATGTGAATTTGCCAGAGCCGAGAAATTCGAATAAAAGAAAGAAAGAAAAGATATTTTCAGAGAATTTCAACATCTGATAAGTAATTTTCAATCAATTTAATAACGCAATTATAGATTTTCATAATAAAATGCATTCACAAAGATTAAATGTCTACAAATGCTGAAGTATACAACATTCATCAAATTGTTTCAGATCATTTACGTTTTAAGATATATTAATGTGTTAATGCTACACTTAACATTTACACTATATAACATCTATACATTTCTTTTTATAAATTATAAATTTATTAATAAGTTTTTATCTGAAACCCGTTTTAATTAAAGAAACCACATTTTAATTGTACAGTAGAGCGTCGTTTATCCGAAAGCGTTCCAGTCGTCAAATTTAAATTTTCGTTAGTGCTGTGGTGCTATAATCTTTGGCTATATCTCGGGCTATTCCAATATTTTTTTTGTTGATGTGTGTGTTTTAGCTGGCAGCATTGGCACTTTTGTGTGGTGTTTTTCCGACGTGCGACTAAATATCCAGATATTATAACGCTCTGATTGGTCAGCTGAATGATGTCAAACTACTAAAATCGGTAATGTTGATCATTAGCCTAAACTTCGTGTTGTTGTTGTTGTTGTTGTGAGAGCGGCAGACATTATATAATAGTTATAAATATTTCATCTAAAACTTGATAAAAGGCACTTATTTATAATTTCACTAGCTCTTGTGTGTATTGACAATAATTGAAAATTTTGCAATAATTTTAACATTAAATTACGTGATATCAAAGATTTTAATGCTGAGACATTTTTAAACATCAAGAAGTAACTTTTATGTTTTGTATTCTTGTAAGCTTTTTTGTACATTTACTATAACAATAAAATAATCAAAAACAACAAATGTAAATTGCAAATTAAGTTTTTTTTT